TAGCTCAAGTCGGAAGTGAGCCACTGAGCTGTGCTTAACTATGGAGCCGCCACTATGGCTATTTCAATAACCGATATTCCGACTTGCGATGAGCTTTCGAATTCCGAAATTCGCTTCAATTTTTTTTCTCTGTGATTCATTTTATAAAGGAAAAATTAAAATCTTTTGATTTAACTAATTGTGTTTTATAGGCTTTATTTTCCTTTGTTATTCTTTTTGCTACATATTAGCTGTGTCCAAGGTCAAGGTTATAGATTGACATCAAGATGCTAAGATCTACTCAATTGTTGAGACCTTTGGTTCAAAAATCATTGGTTAAACAATCTGAAAAAAAGTTGTTCTCAACTTGTTTAACAAGATTTCAACAACAAGTTCCAAAACCAACTGTTCCAAAACCATCTTTTTGGAGAAGAGCTGGTAAATTTGCTTGGAGATCAACTTGGATCTCTGCCTTATTAGCTTCTTCTTATATTGCTTATTCCATTTATGAAGAATCAAATCCTTCAAAACAACAACCTCAAACTCCAACTTTTGCAAATGGTCAACCAAAAAAGACTATTGTTATTTTAGGTTCTGGTTGGGGTGCTGTTTCTTTATTGAAAAATTTAGATACAACTGAATATAACGTTGTTGTCATTTCTCCAAGAAATTATTTCCTTTTCACTCCATTATTACCATCTGCTCCAACCGGTACTGTTGATTCAAAATCAATTATTGAACCAATTAGATCTATTGCTAGAAGATGTAAAGGTGAAGTCTTATACTATGAAGCTGAAGCTACAAAAGTTGATTCCGTTAAAAAAACAGTTACTGTTAAAGGTCAAGATATTGCTAAAAATGATGTTGTTCAAGATTTACATTATGATTATTTAGTTTGTGCAGTTGGTGCTCAACCAAATACTTTTGGTACTCCAGGTGTTTATGAACATGCTTCATTCTTAAAAGAAATTTCAGATTCTCAAGAAATTAGACATAAAGTGTTGAATTCTATTGAAAAAGCTTCTGCTTTACCTAAAAATGATCCTGAAAGAGCTAGATTATTAAGTTTTGTTGTTGTTGGTGGTGGTCCAACTGGTGTTGAATTTGCTGGTGAATTACAAGATTTTGTTGATCAAGATTTAGTTAAATGGTATCCTGAAATTTCTAAAGAAATTAAAGTTTCTTTAGTTGAAGCTTTACCAAATATTTTGAATATGTTCAACAAGAAATTAATTAAATATACTGAAGATGTGTTTTCCGAGGAAAATATTTCTTTAAAATTACAAACTATGGTTAAAAAAGTTGATGATAAAAAAATTACTGCTTCAATTAAAAATTCTGATGGTACAACTTCAATTGAAGAAATCCCATATGGTGTGCTAGTTTGGGCTACTGGTAATGGAGGTCGTGAAATCACAAAAAACATTGCCGGTCAATTAGAAGGTCAAACTTTTGCTAATAGAGGGTTAATAATTGATGATTATTTAAAAGCTGTTGGTTCAGATTCTATCTTTGCCGTTGGTGATTGTGTTTTAAGTAGAAAATTTGCTCCAACTGCTCAAGCTGCTTATCAACATGGTATTTATTTATCAAAATTATTTAAAAATTTAGCCAAAATTGATTCTCATAAATATAAATTAGAACAAACTCCTGAAGCTTCAGAAAAGGCCAAAATTTTATCAAAAATTGATAAAATTTCAAATTTTGAACCATTCCAATTTGTTTATTTAGGTTCTTTAGCTTATATTGGTTCAGAAAGAGCTATTGCTGATTTATCTTGGGGTAATTGGTCAAAATTATCATTAGGTGGTTCATTAACTTTCTTATTCTGGAAATCTGCTTATGTTGGTATGTGTTTAAGTTTTAGAAACAGATGTTTAGTTGTTTTAGATTGGGTTAAAGTTAGTATCTTTGGTAGAGATTCATCAAAAGAATAAGAGCTTTAAATCAATTAATTTCATGTTTGGTTTCAATTTTTTAAGATATAATAATATTCTAATTCAGATCTTTATTTTTCATTCAATAATATTAATATTCCAAAAAATTATATCAATCAATATTCCAAACTTTAATAAAATCATGTGTATACGTATTTGTTTTTTATAATATAATGAGAAGAATGAGATCTGTTTTGTGTCATACAAAAAGGATGCATGTATTTGTAGTTTAAAATGTAAGTCATTTACGAAAATGGAAAAACCTTGACATATATTACTTTATGAATTAAATTATATTGTATTATAGTACTAAAATCAAAATTTGGATATCACATAATTAAGAGCAGTGTTATTAATTGAAATCAATTAGTAACAATTTGTCAAAGTTTATCTGTTTGCAAAAATTCTAATTGTTCATTAACTTTCCCACACCAAAGTAATGGATCTCTTAAACCTTTAACTTGGAAATCACCATGATCACAAATCAACCATTTCATAGCTTCCCAAATTTTCAATTCAAAATCATAACCTAATTCTTTAATCAATAATTTAGAATATAATCTTCTTCTATTCCCTTGATCATCATGAATTTGTCTAAATCCTTTACCATTAATTTTCCATGGATATAATTTTGGTTGATTACAATGAAGGAATAACATTTCACTATTTTTATATCTATGCATATTATAATTATCTTTAGTACGATCATATGTCCATTTTGTATCTTTAAAACTTTCAGGATTTCTAAATTGAATATAATCTAAAATTGGATCATATTGACCCATTGCTGCAATGGAAATTGAATTATCATCACGAATTTCTCCATATTCTCTAATATATTCTTGAACTTGATAATAAGGTAATCCAAATTTATGAGCTGCTGCTAATATAGTTTCCTTATCACCTTCACCTGCTTGTCCTTGGGAAAATAATGGATAATAATAATTTGGTCCATAAAAATTATAATAAAGTGATAAGAATAAAGTTTTAGCATGAATTTTTTTGTTTATAAGCACTTGACCTGTTTCACTTGATGCTTCAGGGAAAGTACCTTCTAAATCATGATATGAAACTTTTTCATTATAATCATCTAATGTTTCTAAACCTTCTGGATGATCACGTTCATCATTATATGAAAATCTGATTTGATTAGTTTCATTGATTGTTATATTTGCAATATCATAAAATGTTGGTGAAGTTGATCTTCTCCAAAAATCAGGCCAAATTACTAATGGTTTTGATATGAATGGCTCATTGATGAATAATAAATCTGGATTTTTCAATGGTAAATTATCAGAATCTAACATTAAAACATTTTCAAATGATGTTAATAATAAAGCCATTGATTTTAATTGATATCCTTTTATTTTGATTTTTTTGGTATCAATATAATTTGACATTAAAATACATTTAGCACCAAAAACAGGGAAAACTCTATCACATAAATCAACTGAATATTCATTTTCATTTGGGATGAAAACTTCAATTGGTAATTTTGAGCCCAAGTCACGTAACATCTTGATTGATAATAAGACTAACCAATTATATTGACCACCACCTGCATATAAAATCCCATTACCTTTAATAGTTGATTCAATTTCTTCTGGGAATTTTTCTGGCATTTTTTCTAAAAAGACTTTATGTGAATTTTTCAAATGTTCATGTTCTCTATCTTTCAACAAGAAATATGATTTCAAATAATTCTTTGATCTTATTGGATCAACACCATTGTTTTCTCTTAGTTTACCTGATAAAACAGGTAGTTTACCGTCCCAATTGGTAGGATAATGATTTGATTTATTATAATGATCTTTATTATTAATTGGACCAAATGATGGTTTACATTGTAATATACTACCAATTAATTGATCATTTATGAATTTTTTCATTACTGAATATTTCCCCAATCCAGCTTCAATTGATTCTGAATTTGTATAATCTGAAAAATCTTTATTTTTGTAATATTCATCATCATTATAATCATTAATGATATGATCAGCAGTTATATTTTCATTTTTTTGTGGATCCGCTTTAACAATAGTAACATCTGAAGTTTCATAGTAAGCTGGTCCATGAGAGTCTTTAGCCTTATTATATTCAATCCCAATTTCTTTGGAAGGGTTATAGAAAACCAAATACTGGAATTGTAAAGTTATTAGAATAAGTATTGTAAATGAAAGCAACGTTATAATTTTAGCATGTCTTGTGGAGTGAAGTCGATGTATGACTCTCTGAAGAGCAGAAGAGGTTGTTCTCAACGCCTTATTCATGGTTATCTGTGAAGCGTCTGTCTATAGTATATGTCTCAATGATATTGTAACCAACAAAACCAAGCTTTTTTTTTTTGCAAGATGGATTGTTGATGTTTAAATAAGCCTTCTTCTGAGTTGAAATCATGGGTATAATTTATTATTTACTCGTGAAATCGGTTCCTTGCGCCTATCATGCACAAGTGAGTGAAAAACATTAAAATTGGAAGGGAATTAAGAACTACAAGTACCCACTACGCACTACGCAACAAGTTTCAAAACACCAAAGAGGTGACAGCCGGTCTCTAATAGAAACTCATACTACAATAATTTTACGTCTCATAAAGATTTCCATACTCAATTGTCTCATTTATTACGCATTTTATTTACCCACTTGATAATTAAACTTAAAAGCCTCTAAAATTCGCGGCTCGTGCTTCGCTTTTATCAGCCCGGTTGAAAATGGCAGAAAAACTTAAAAAAATTGGAGTCCGGGTAAATTAGCTGCTTCGCGAAAACCGCGAATGCGATATCTGATTCACAACTTTTCAATCTTTCATTGAACTGGAGTGGAAACTTTAGTGGGTTCAAAGGCAAAAGTCAACTTCAAACTCAGGAAACAAACTAAAGATGTCCGCTGATCATACTAGAGATCCTTGTCCTATTGTCATTTTAAACGATTTTGGTGGTGCCTTCGCCATGGGTGTTATTGGTGGTTGTGTTTGGCATGGTATTAAAGGTTTCAGAAATTCTCCATATGGTGAAAGACGTATTGGTGCTATAAGTGCTATTAAAGCTCGTGTTCCAGTCGTTGGTGGTAATTTCGGTGTTTGGGGTGGTTTATTCTCCACTTTTGATTGTTCTGTTAAAGCTATTAGAAAAAGAGAAGATCCTTTAAATGCTATTATTGCAGGTTTTTTCACCGGTGGTGCTTTAGCTATTAGAGGTGGTTGGAGACATACAAGAAATAGTGCAATTACTTGTGCTTGTTTATTAGGTGTTTTCGAAGGTGTTGGTATGATGTTCCAACGTTATATGGCATGGCAAAATAAACCTATTGCTCCTCCTTTACCTGATCAACAACCTTTACAATAAATTTGAAAATCATCTAGAATTTAGAGCAAAAATACAATTACAACTCAACATATAAAGAAGTTCAAAAATCTTTATAATGACCCTTTGATGAAAGATATAACTGTACATATAAATTAATGTAAATAATGCATTTCGTTTAAATTATTAAACAAACTATAAACATTGTAGATCATAAAAACATTAAGCCTATCCATAACTATAACTATATATATATATTGTGTTCAGTATTTCATTTATACCATTTGTTTCCCACACTTGCTTTCAATCCATTAACTTCTTCAGCACTTTTATCATTTCTATTATTCAAGTTTCTTAATCCGGTTCCTGGTGGATTCCATTCACCTGTGAATTTTGTTTCCTGAATAAATGGATGTAGAATAGCTTGTTGTGGAGTCCATCTTTCTAATGGGTTTAGATTCAACAAACCTTTTAATAAATGAACCAGCGATGCTCGATCATTTGTCTCTTTTTCAATCATTGTTGATGTCATTGTTCTCTTTTGCATGGTATAACCCATTATTAATTCACTTAAATCATTTGATTTTAAATATTTCTTACCAGCAGTTTCATTTAAATTTCTTTCTTTACAATATTTTTCTAATGATTTCATTTTATATCCTGAACCATCTTCAGTTTTTTCCAAGAAATTTTTAGAATTTTTACCCATTTCAATCATCCAAGTTGGTGGTAATCCTAATATTGATGTAATTTTAACTAGCTGATCATATTCTGATGACCCTGGGAATATAGGTAACCCTAAAAATAATTCTGCAACAATACAACCCAATGACCATGTATCAATTGAAGTTGTATATGGTAATCCTAAAATAACTTCTGGTGATCTGTAAAATCTTGATTGAATATATGTATATAACGTTTGACGTTCTTGACAAGCACTTCCAAAATCAACAACTTTAATATCTGGTTTATCTGGGCTTACCAATAGAATATTTTCAGGTTTTAAATCACAATGAATAATTTTAGAATCTTTTAAAACACAAAGTGAATCTAATAATTGTTTGGCAAAATTTCTAACAAGTTTGGTATTAAGTCCCTTATATTGATTTTGTTTAATTAATTCAAATAAATTTGAAGATAATAATTCAAATACAAGACACAAATGATTTTTATGAAGAAATTTATCTTTCAATCTAAGGAAATGATGCTGATCTAAAGGATCAATTTTTCTATTGATTAATTCCAATATGCTAATTTCACTCAAACTTTGATTCAAAAATGCAGGTTTTGAATTAACAACTTTAACAGCAACCATTTCTTTAGTTTTCAAATTTTGACATTTAACCACTTGTGCAAATGTACCATGACCTAATATATCCAATACCAAATATTTACGATTCTCTTGACCACCTAAAACATCATTAACATATAAAATATAATCATTATCTTCATTATCAGCACCATTATTTGTTTTAGCTTCACTTGGTTTAGTCAAGACTCTTTTAGGGTTTTTAGAAACTTCATAATTAAAATCTGAATCACATAAAGAATAAGTTGTCGTTAGATCATTTGTTAAAGACAATAAAGGTGATATATAATTTGATCCCATTGATGCACGTCTATATTTTGGTACTGCATTTTTAACAGGTCTTAAGTCTTGCTTTGAATGAATTTTACGAACTTGTGGAGGTGGTAATTGTTTAACTGGTGGAAATTGATTTGAATTCAAAACAGATTGTCTTCTTGCTTGTATTGGAGTTAAAAATTGTTGCTGTGGAGTTGATTGCATCATTGTTGCCACTGATTGACGTCTTTGAGCCTGAGGATCCATAAAGCCTAGTTGAACTGAAGAATCTGCATAATATGTTGGAGGTGGTGCTGGAGCACGAATTGGGGGATTTTGAATTAATGAATTTTTTCTTGAAGCATTGAAAGCACCCATATCATCTTCATATGTTGTTGGTAATTGATTATTGAAGATTGATGACCTTGTCGGTGTATGTTGTAACAATGATGAAGTTGATGATGTTGGTCCAATTTGAGATGAATTGAAGTTTGTTGAGTTGGTTGATGAAGAGGAATTGGTATTTGGTGGTTGGAAATGACTTTGAGATGGTGATCTTTGTGATGAAAACCATGGGTTTTTAAATGAGTTTGTTGGTGATCCAAAGGGTGATGCAGTTTGTTTCTGTTGATGAGGATTCAAAGTTGAAGATGAAGATAGTCTTGGGGTTGTGGCCATATTCATTTGATTTGATGCATATGAGTTATTCCATGTTATTTCAGATGATGATTGTGGATAGTTTGAGCCCAAAGGGGAACTATGTTGTTGATGGAAACTATTTTGTCGTTGTTGTTGATATGGTGAAAGGTATTGTTGTTGTTGAACAACATATTGTTGTGGTACTTGATATTGTGATGATTGTTGCTGTAAAACGTGTGGCGGTTGTAATGATTGTTGATATGCCTGCTGCTGTGCTAGTTGTTCATTCTGTGGAGGTTGAGGTTGATTGATTTGAGGTATTGGAGGTGGTTGCATTTCACCTTCAACTTGTTGATTAGTTGGACCCTGGTCAAACTGATATTTACCTCTTTCATCCAGTGTTGGATGCTGAGAGCTGTAATGGAATGACATTAATCAATCCTTATTCTGTTGTATTTATGACTATTCCAATATCAAATATGAAAGCTTTGATGTGTAAAGTTTTATTAAAAAGGTTAAATAAGTAATGCAACTTTGCTTCAAATGATATGATTTCACCTTCTTCTAACAAATAGCAAAGCAAAATGAGTCAAAGTGTTTGTAAATATGCCTAAACTTCTGGTATTAAGTAGCAAATTGAGGCAGCTTTATCAGCCAAATATATGTCTTTTCAATTATAAGTTATATTAACTATCCCAATTGACCTTGAAATCAAGGATTTTCCACTGTTTGATCAACTCTCAACTCTTTCAAGTACCTGAAAGCAGCTGTTCCCATGAACTGAAATGATAATCTCCAATACTGCAATCGCGGTGTCGGATCTGATCCCATAATTCACGTGAAAAATGGTCGGAATTATCATCTTTATCAGTAAGTGCGGGTTACTCCCCTGGTTCGCGATCGTTATTTCGCGATGTTTTTCGAGATTTTTGAAATAATAATACAAAACAGTAAGTAAAACTGAATAGAAACGTACTGTGGGAAAATAGACATTAACATTAAATTTGAATTGAAAAATGAATGTTTCAACATCTACATCTGGTATCAAGAGAAGAACAGTGAAGACTTTGAATGAAGAAGAAGAAAATGCTGCTAATCTACAGCTTGGTTCAGAATTTGATATAAGACAATATGATCATGATGGTGAACCAATGGATCTTATTGCTTTGAATTTATCAGAAGCAAGAATCATTATTAGAAGTGCATTGAAAGAAAGAAAGAAGATTATGACACCAAATGGTGAATTTAGAGATCAACCTTTAGAAACCTTGGATCAAGATGACGAAAATGATGAAGCAAATAGTAATGATGACGATAACAATGAAATAGCCAAAGCAGCAATAGCGGTAGGAGCAAATGAGGTTTTAAAGAAAACATTAGATCATTTGAGTACATTTTCAAGATTTAGAGATACACAAACATGTTCAGCGGTGGAACAATTATTAAAATCACCAGAAAATTCAAATTTACATCCTTTCGAATTAGCTCAACTAGGTTCATTAGCCTGTGATGATGTTGATGAAGCTAAAACTTTGATACCTAGTTTAACGAATAAGAAAACTGATGCTGAACTACAAAACATATTGAATCAATTATCAAGATTAGAAACACCATATTAAAAAAAAAGCTTGAAATCATTAAACATTTAATAAACTATCTCCATGTATATTACAAAACAACAAAAAGTTGCTATTGCTTTCACAACTTTAATTCATTTCGTCTATAAAACTTTATATGAATATGTACTATATATATACGTATATCCATAATGAAGAAGCATCATCAAATTCATTCGTCAATTGTAATTAAAACCTTCTTAGATCTCTTGTTCGCGGTATTTTTTATAAGTTCATATTTTTTTTTCGCGGCGGTTTCGCGACTTTATTAAAATTAAAACTTTTTCGATAGTTGAAATAAAGTGAATATCAAAGCATCATAAGAGTTGCATTGATCCAGTATCTTATAAATTATTGTTCAAAATGAGACCATTATTGTTAAAAGGGCATGAACGTTCACTTACGCAGGTGAAATATAACCGTGAAGGTGATTTAATTTTCACTGTTGCCAAAGATAAAGAAGCTTCTGTTTGGTATTCATTCAATGGTGAAAGATTAGGAACTTTCAGTGGCCATGGTGGTACTATTTGGTCTATTGATGTTGATCAAAAATCTGAATTGCTTTTAACAGGGTCTGCTGATTTCAGTGTTAAATTATGGAATGTTTCAAATGGTGAAAATGTTTTCACTTGGAGTTGTGTATCTCCAGTTAGAAGAGTTGAATTTAATCCATCAAATGATAAATTTTTAGCTGTTATGGATGCTGTTATGGGTCATAAGGGTGATATTTCAGTCTTCAATATCAATAAAGAAACACCTACAAAACAAGATGAAGAACCAATATTAGTTATTCCAACTTATGAAGGATTAGAAAGAGTTAGTGTTGCTGGTTTCTCATACTTGGGTAAATACATTATTGCTGGTCATCAAGATGGTACTGTTTCTAAATATGATGCTAAAACTGGTGAATTCATAAACTCTGTCAAAGTTCATGAAGGTTTAGTTACTGATTTACAATTTTCAGAAGATAGAACATATTTTATCACATCATCAAAAGATAAATCATCTAAAATATTAGATGTTGATAATTTAAATATTTTAAAGAAATTTGAATCAGATTCACCTTTAAATTCAGCTGCTATAACACCATTGAAAAATTTCGTTGTTTTAGGTGGTGGTCAAGAAGCTAGAGATGTTACTACAACCGCTGCTAATCAAGGTAAATTCGAAGCAAGATTCTATCATAAAATTTTTGAAGATGAAATTGGTAGAGTAAAAGGTCATTTCGGCCCATTAAATTATATTGCTATTCATCCAAAAGGTACTGGTTATGCGTCTGGTGGGGAAGATGGTTATGTTCGTGTTCATAATTTTGATAAATCTTATTTTGATTTCAAATATGATGTTGAAATAACAGCTGAAGCTGCTGCTGCTTCAAAAGAAAACAATCAAGATTAAGAATAAGAATAAGAAAGTTTTCAAGGAATGTTTGTGGGTTTCTGTATAATGAAATAAACATAGAAAAGGAATTTTTAGTGAGTAAAAAGCACTACATATGTAATTAGTTCAAAAGAGAATTTTGATTTTCATGTATTAATCTAAGTCATATTCATCGTTGACATCGTATATATATGTATGTATGTAAGCATGTTACTTCTTCAAGTTGATTCTATCTTTTATAATTAGCTCTATAGTCTTGTGATTTTTGATTATTCTTGATTTTAACTGATCACCATTATGTCAGAAGTGTTCAATTTAAGCACCACCAGCAGCAGCTTTTCTAGCATCAGCTTTGGAATGAAGTTAGTAATTGGCCATGAAAGGATCCGATTTCTACGTGGGATCTCCATTCATGTTTCTACGGATGAGGTAGAAACCTTCAAGGTGGTCTCAAGGTGTTTTTTAGTGGATATGAGTTTACTTACCTTCAGCTTGTTTTCTTCTCATGATTTCGGCTTGATCTTCCAATCTCTTCTTTGGATCACCTTCTATCTTCTTTTTTTGTTGAGCCATCTTTTTGGCATTCTTTTCTCTTGCTTTTTCTCTTTGGTTACCTCTGGACATTGTGAAGTTTGTAGTAGTTGATGAGTGTTTGATTGATGAATAGATTAAAATGGAGATTTGTAATTTTTGATTTTGTTTCTTTTTTAATTTCAACACCTGCTGCTCGCGCGCGCCTGAAAAAGATCTTGATTATGTAAGTGCTGAGTCAGATAAGCGCTTGAATCAACGTAGTTGACATTTAACAACTTCAACAACAAAGACTTCAATTGTGATCAATCGAAGAAAGCACAGTCAATCGAATACTGAAAGCGTGTACACTATGTCAGATAAGGAAGTTGAGCTCACAGAAGAACAACTTAAAGAACAAAAACTAGAAGCTGCTAGAAAAAAAGTAAGTTTGTTCAATTGATTTTTGGATATGGATCATGTCTAACAATAATAATCTAGTATGAACAATTGAAGAATAAGGGTAAAAAGAAGAAGTCAAAGAAGACAAAGAAGGGTGATGATAATGATGATAGCAAAGACGTTAGTGTTGAACCTACTGAAGAATCCGTTGGATCTACAGAAAACGTTGCTAAGGAAGAATCCACTGTTGATGAAGCTAAAGAAGAGACTAATGTTGATGAATTGGAGAAGGAAACTACAGATAAAGATGATGTGAAAGAAGAAAAGGAAGAGAAGGAAGAACAGGAAGAAAAAGAAGAAAAAGAAGAAAAAGAAGAATCCAATACTGAAATTGAAGAAAAACTAGCTGCAGATATCGAAGGTATACAATTAAGTAACAAAGAGGGTTCTGAAATTACTTCAAATGAAAAAGAAAATAAGGATGACTCTGCATCAAATGTAGATGTTCCATCCTCTGGTGAGCAAAAACAAGAACTTGAAGAATCAAAATCAAAACAACAAACTGCTGCTGATGATTTATTCCCCGAAGAAGGTCCTTCATTCATGGATACCATTAAACAAGCACAAGCCGATGATACCCTTGAGAAAACACAATTGGAAAATAATACTTTGAAAGCAGATTTGGAAAAAGTTAAGAAGGAAAATAAAGAATTAAAGTTATTGAAATTAGATCACTTAGAGCAAATAGAAACATTAGAAGCAAGAGTCGCAGATTTAGAAGCTAAGCTAGCTAAAGCAAAAGTTGATTCTTCAAGATCGGTTCCAACAAATCATTTGACTACAGGATATGTATACGACCAAGATGAAACGTTATCTTTATCTCCAACACCTTCTTCTCAACAACCCTTCTCAACCACGTTTAGTCAATTTAAACCTCATCATAATAATGAAAGTCAATTAAGTCTTGGAGAAATAAAGGCTAAGTTGAGTAAATGGAAAGGTTGGAATATTGATATGACAAATTGGAGAAGTGTTGGTAGTGGACCAATTGTTGAATTATGATAATTTTATGTATATTGTTGTGTTGAATTTTATGTTCATTCAGATCAATTTTAGCTACAGTTCTAGTATCAAATTTGATCCCATAAGAATTAATGCTTTATTTCATTATATCTATTTACAATTATATTCAAATTTCCCCTTTATAATACTTTAATTTTCTTATTTGATACGACATAAAACTTCACCACTTCCACCTCTTTCAATAGCTTCAGCCAAATCAAGAATTTCGTAACTGAAATTACGTTTTGTAGTATCAACTTTCACAAGTACCAATTCACTTGGTTGTAATGGTTTGATTTCTCTAACTGATTTACCAGCAGCTAATAATTTCAATTGATCATGATCTAAAATAATTCTACGACTTGGTTTGGAAATTAATGAAACTTTTCTAATGACAGAATCTGTACCTCTATACTTTAGCCCCAACCATAGTCTTCTACTGGCAATATTATCTGGTGTAACGTCAACTGGTTTTAAATCTGGACCATTTAGAGAGCCTTTTTGTACTGATGTGATGAAACCTTGTTTATATAGATGTGATGCAACTTCTAAATGCATTCTTGAATATGGGATAGCAGTTGTGGCTAAATTCACTCTAGTGACATTTTGCAAATGAGCACAAAGGTTCCCTAGTCTCGTAAGTGACATGACTAACTTTCTTTCTTTGATATCAATATTGATTTGATTACTAGGCTAATCTTTCATGAATCTCTTCACTGTTTTTCAACAAAATTTTGATATTTGGTGGAAATATTCGCGAACCATTTGGTTGACCCACTTCCATATTAAAGCTGAGTGATGGATACTTTATTGATAATTGGTAAGATTTGATATTGTGAAATATGTTATTCGAAATACGTATTCTTCTTATTTTGGTTGACTTATGTGAGTAGTAGTGATCTTCTAATCATGTGCTTTCGATTAGTTTCCATCGTGCGATTTTCTAATATATAACGGCAAGTATCCAATCATCGCGGAAAAAAATAAAATGATTACATTGTATCTAAGTTATGTTTGTATATGATATTTAGACCAGATTTAAGTATACTTGTACGTACGTTGAAACAAAGATCAGAATGTTCAGAAGCAAGCCGTTTGGAATAGGAGCGTTCAAAAGCTCATTATTTCCTAGAATAAAACCCCAATCACAACCATTGTTCAAAAGATGTTTAAGCTCTAAAAATAATCAACCAAGTAAAGATCCAAATAAAAGTGTTAGATTTCGTAATTTTATAGCTATTGGTATCATTTCATGGGTTATATTAGCACAAGTTGTTGAGGCTGTTAATAAGGAACAAAAAGGTTCAAGAAGTATGAGTGAATCTGAATATTTCAAACAACAAATGAAATTGAAAAGAAGAAAAGCGTTATTTACTCAAGAAGAGAAGCAAGTTTATTTTGTTAAAGCTGATAAGAATCAAGATGACTTGAAAGAACTGAAATTAGATGGGTTCGAATTGATAGATCCTAGTAAATTGGTTGAAAGGGAAAAGAATGATAAAGAATCACTATACAACGCATTGTTAAACGATCCAGATACCAAGACCTTACCAACTGGTTTATTGGTTGATCTGATCTCCAAAGAATTGAAAAATAATGAATCAAAAAAATTTGTTGTGATAAATTATCCACCAGATATTAAAGAATCTGTTAAATTTGAAGAAAAAGCTGTTACAATTAAAAAGTTAATCCATTTATCAGATGATAAAGAATCTAAAGTAGAAGATGATGTTCTCAAATATTATAATACTGTTAATAAAGTTCAAACTATCGAATCTACAGAAGATTTGATAAAATCATTGGAATAAGGATAAATTTCAAAATGCATTTATATATATAGACATGTAAGTAATAAATCATTAAATCTTGCACATTGTGTTACCAAATCAAAAATTCTACTTTTTCGTACTTCCAAACCCACTAAATCCCATCATACTCATCATATTATCATCTTTATCATTATTATTAGTACTAACATTTGTTTTTTGTTCTACGGGCTTTGGTTTTTTGGTTTGTCTCTTTCTTTTAAGCTCCTCTTCAAATGCTTGTCTTTTGGCAATTCTTTTCTTAATATCATATTTTTCATCATCATTTTGCTGTTCTTCCATTTTCTTTACTAACATTTCATATCTCTGTTTAACATCATCTAAAGTGACTTCAATTTGTTGATTAAGTTCACCACTTCGTATCAAATGTGGTTTACTATTTAAATGGTCCACATATTTCAAATTGTCTTTGAAAGTTAAGTCACAAACTTCACAATAAAAACCAAATGATTTCCCTCTAGTTGATACAACGTTACTTGCAATGACTTGTCTCTTATTAAGATCTTTATTGAAATTCAATGAGTCCCTATCAATTTGAGATACACCTTCAACTTTCTCTATTGTTTTATTTTGTTCCTTTTCACGTCGTAGTGCTCCTTGCTTGGAAAACTCTTCTTTATCCCATGTTCTTCTACCAAATGAATTTTTCTCTGACATACTTGTTCAATGGTGGTTTGATGATTCTCTGAAGAAATATCAACTTTGATTCGTACGTCTATATAAATGTACGTGAAAATTAAGCGCGACTTATGTAAACATTATAAAGATCTGGAGCTTCTGTGAGCTTTTACTTTAATTTAAATGAACACTTCTCGCGTGAATTTCATAAACGACTTTCAGGAAATTTGCATTGAATCAGAGATAGAGGTTGTCATGTCAAAGGATATTCTATCCATGGTTGGAAAATCCAAACCTTCAAAAGTCACTAAATCATTGACTTCTCAGGCTCAAAATTCTATCTCATCAATATCATCAAAATCACAAACAAACAAACAATCAGTTCATACTAGTTCCATAATAGGTGAATATTTGATCAAGATCATACCCAAGAACTTTTCACTTACTGAAACACCTGTCTCTATAGTAGCGTTTGACCTTGATGGAACATTGATTAATACCAAATCAGGCTCGAAATTTGCAAGATCATCAACAGATTGGAGATGGTTTAATCAATCAGTTATATCAAAGTTGAAATCAATAAAGAACAATTCACCAATTGTGATATTTACAAACCAAGGGGGTGTTGTTGCTAAACAGACTTCCAAATCATATCAGAACTTTGTTGGTAGAATTCAATCAATTTTAGAAAGTTTGAAATCTGAAGGAATTGATATTAGTAGAATATGGGTTTATGCAAGTCCTAAGAAGGCAGCTGGATATAAAGGAGATTCTGTGAAGAGTTTTGAAGAGATGAGAAAGCCTCAAAGAGGAATGTTTGATAATTTCATAAAAGATTTTGGTGGTGAAGATAAAATACTCATTAAAGATAGTATATATGTTGGTGATGCGGCTGGTAGATCTAATGATTTTAGTGATAGTGATTTAAAATTTGCAGAAAATATCAATCTAAATTTTAAAGTCCCAGAAGATTATTTTGTATAGATTAATAACCCTGAAAGAAATCAATCATTCATCGTGTCGATATTATAATAATTAACTACGATGCTACCAACTCAATAGTAGCTGATGAACCGTTTTATTAAGTTCTATATTTGTACATTAATCAATCTTCCCATTAAAAAACACTTTTCATGAATAAATCTAATCAGTTTCAATAGTACCTTTTTCTGAAACGTAGATACCATCCAAGAATTTACGGATATCTTTGTTTCTAACTCTACAGATTTGTTGGATATCAGCAGCGTTTTGTGAAACAGCTTCAACAGAGTTACCTAATAAGACAACTTCATCTTTTTGGTTGGCTGAGAATTCAACTGAAACACCTTCATGAACTGGAACTTGTCTGATTTGTTTGTCACCTAAGAAATTTCTGATTTCAATAGATTTTTTACCATCATTTTCAACAACGTTAACGTTAATTGGGAAATGCGCATAAACATATCTTAATTTATATTTGTAACCTTTAGTGACACCGGTAACCATGTTAGCGATTAAAGATTTAACAGTTCTTAAAGCAGCAACATGTTTTCTGTCACCATTGTGGACGGTGATTTTAATTTGTTTGTCAGATAATTTGGTGAAAGTAATATCAATGTGACGCAAGTTTTTGGTCAAAGTACCTCTTGGACCGGTAACAGTGACGATTCTTGATTTGATGTTAACTTTAACACCTTCTGGGATATCTAAGGTTTGATCAGTTCTGATGTATTTCATTTTGTTGATGCTATTCCACTGTCTTTAGGTAGATTCACCAAGTATTAAAAGCGCTTTTAATCACTGATATTTTTCACCATATTATTGAATTTTTCACGAAAATCAAAAACAAAAAAAAAATCAAAAAGACATCCAGACATTTATACTTGTGTTTCGCGTTTTTACATGGGCCTAGCTTGTTGCACGTGACTTTGTATATTTCATGCCCTATATTTAGAAAAAGTTACATACCATACACAATTCACAATTCACATTTCACAATACATAACTCAGTTATCTTCATCTATCATTTTTTGTAATTTCCCAAAGATCTTGTCACGGTGTTGAGCTAATTCATCATCTTCATCTCCAAGGAAAAAATGCTGTCTTTCATAGTCCAAGTCTTCACCATTGTCAAGAAAATTTGAAGGACCATTACCTTCATCGTCATACAATTCATCATATAAGTCTTCGAACTCTTCCCCTAGTTCTTCATGTAATTGAGCAAGCGTATCTTCATTAGTACTCTGCTGCTGTGAATTTATCATTGATTCGGTTAGGATCTCTATTGAAGATTCTGATTTACCTTCATCATCTGAATAATCCTCTTCATCTTCAGGATAATCATTTTTATAGAAATCTTCTGCATTTGAGTCTTCATCATCTGATAAATGTTTATCTGAATCATTCTCTTCATCTTCATCATTGGCATCTTCTTCAAATTTTCTTCAAATTGTTAGTCGATTTGTCTTTTGTTCATCTCGGTTTCAAATACATACATATAACCAATTTTCTCCTTTTCCCAAGTTTCATGAACTGCACGATCTCTATAATAGACATCGTAAACATATTCTAAGTCCGGTTTATCTGTTATCGTTTCTCTATTAACTTTTGTAGATCTTTGTTTACGCTTCTTCAAATTTGTTGACTGTTCCTGGGGTAATTTTAATACGGAATCTAACATTTCAGTGAATTCATCAGGAAGCTTCTCCTCTGTCTTCTCCTCCTTGGGTAGAATGAAGGTATTCTGTTTATGCTTGTGAATTGCGTTAGTTACCGGCTCACGACACAAATAAAAGTTCTACTTACCTTTGATTCACTTGACTCTTGTAATAATGGTAACGTACCCACCCCATCTTCTTTCAATTGAACAATTTGAGAATCTGTTCTTTGCAACTTGAAAACTGTGAGTTCATATTAGCATTTGAATTCTTGAAGTAATTCCTCAAGAAACATACCGTATTGTTCATCTTTTATTCTCTTATTTTTAGGTGCCTCAAGAACTAATGTATTTGTTAATAATGAATGTCATTTAACTTTATTAATTGAGAATTATATCTTACTCAATGCTTGAAGCGAGTCCTGGTTTCTTTTTCTTTTAATACGTAATACTTCTGGTAGATGTTCCCTTGAACTCATATCTAATGATCAATGACTATCCTGGTTATTTAATTATGAAATAATCTGCTTGAAGTTGTACACCGTTGTCATGGTTTTTGTTTTGATTTTAATTATATTTTCACCAACCGGCCGATTTTGTTGAAACCGAAATGTTTACAAAGCCAAATTACAAAGTACAAAATCTGACACAATTTAGAGTTAATCGTCGTTTTCTTCTAGTCAATACAACTTTAAGATTAAAGATTGATAGAAATGTTTTTGAAGTATCAATAGACTTGCTATCAGTCATCAAACTATGCACACTGCTTTAGCCATCAAAGCTTATATTTACAGGAAAACACTCTATACAAATTGGTTGATCTCTTATTTATCAGATTCTATAATTGGTATTGTATTGGAAAAACATCGTGATGTCGTTCTTGTGACAGGAGGAACCCAAGGTTTAGGTAGACAAATTGTTTTGGAGTTTTTGAAGAGAGGTGTTCAAAGAATTGTTGTATTTGATATTAAAGAACCAGCTGAAAAGCATAGATTGGATGGTGTTTATTATTATCAATGTGATGTTAGTGATAAAAATGAAGTTTTGGAAATGAGCGAAAAGGTTAAAAGTCAAATTGGTATCGTTACTGTTGTGATCAATAATGCTGGTATAACTTCTGGGAAATCATTTATTGATTTATCCTTGGAGGAAATTGAAAAAATCATACAAGTTAACTTGATGTCAAATTTTTATATTAATAAGGCATTTTTACCTGATATGTTAGATTTAAAAAGGGGATATATTATAACTGTTGCTTCTGTATTAGGATATATGTCACCATCAAACTTGGGTATGTATTTTCTTAAATTTTATTTTAGATGATTGATACTAACATAATTCTATAGCTGCATATGGGGCTTCAAAATCAGCATTAATTGCGTTACATGAATCATTAACATATGAGTTGGGACCACCAATTTTCAGTAACACAGGTGTGAAAACATTGTTAATCTGTCCTGGTCAATTAAGAACCCAAATGTTCAAAGGTGTCAACACACCATCCTCAATCTTTGCACCTGAATTAGACCCACAATACGTTGCACAGAAAATAGTCGAAGCAGTTCAATATGGAAGACGAGGTGAGCTCAAATTTCCAATATATGGGAATTTCTTACCTTTATTCAGATCATTACCATGGCCAATGACTCAATTTGTTAGATATGTCAGCGGGATGGATGAATCAATGAAAACATATGATCATAAAAAATCACCAGCTTCACCATCAGACTTAGAAACATCACCATCAACACAGAATAGAAATCATGAAGCAATAGTTGGTACAATTGTTTCTTCTAATTCATCATCAATATAATTATTTGACACTTTTCTAAATCCCCAAAAGTTACCTCTTTCACCACCCCAAAATGGTTGATTAAAATCATTTGCTGCAATTATTTTCCCTTTTATTAAACCCAATGGTAAGGAATTATATGTTCTTGAGTCCAAAGAATGTGCTAAATTATCCCCTGTGACCCAGCAATGACCTTCAGGCACCTTTATAAACTTGTTGAAGCTTTCTTTATTGTCCACATCAAACTTAGATTTGTCATCTTTCTTGTTTTCCATACTTGGATCAATCAAAATTATATCACCAGGCATTCCAGTGATTCTTTTACAAACTCTTTGATCAGGATCAGTTGGTTTTAAGGCAACAATGCAATCACCAATTTCAACACCACGTCCCAATTTGTATCTTTTAGATGTATACACATAATCATTACTAGCTGCTAATGTAGGTAACATTGATTCACCTCTAGTCTCTGTGAACTCATAAAAATGTGACTGCAAAACATGGACAGCACAACCACCTCTCAATACATAGCTGAACACTTTCCCGAAAAACTTTGCCTTTTCCATTGGTGAGTTTGGTGTAAATCTGAATAGCTTTGATCGTGTGTATTGTTGTTGATTTACTTTTTGATTTTCAAAGTTGAATGGTGAAGAATCAGATTCTTATGTAAGATTTTGGGTATAGGAAAATTATTAAATATTCCAAGTTGAAAACAAATCATCAACATTAAAACAACATTGAAACAAACATCAGCTTAGGTTCAGGAGTCCTTTATTAGAAGCTGCTTAAGAGTCAGAATATCAATTGTCAAAAACTAAATCAAAATGATGGCACGTTACGAACAACGAGAACTTCTCGAACAACTTATGGGAAGAGATACATTGATCAATCCCTCAAGACAACGAAGAGAATTAGGTCTTTCAGATCCAAAGATCTGTAAAAGTTTTTTGCTGGGTATATGCCCATATGATCTATTCAATAGTACTAAGCAAGACATGGGTCGTTGTAACAAGATACATTTGGAGAAACATAAATTACAATATGAAAGAGAAATAGCACAAGGCAAGGAATACCCAGATTTTGATATTGAAGTCATACAGACATTGAATAGATTTATAGTTGATGTCAATAGAAAAATTGATGTGGCATTGAAAAGATTGGAGCATACACCAGAAGAAAAACTAAAGATAAGTGAAGCTGCTAAAGAATTAGAAGCTGTTGATTCAAGAATAAATATAATGATTCAAGAAATTGAGAAATTAACGGAGAATAAACAAGTATTGAAGGCATTGGATCAAAGTGTCAAGCTTCAAGAATTATCAGTGAAAAGAGAATATCATATAAAAAAGTTGAGAGATGTAACTGAAAATGCAGGTCAGAGTGCACAACAAAAACTTCAAGTTTGTGAAGTTTGTGGCGCTTATCTTTCAAGACTAGATAGTGATAGAAGATTGAGTGATCACTTTTTGGGTAAGATACATTTAGGCTATGTTCAAATGAGAGATAAACTCGATGAGTTGAAGAGAAAACATAAAAATGATTGATTGAATTAGTTTTTTTTTACAAAAGAAAATAAATGAATAAATACGATTTATATTGTAAAAAACTTAGTAATTAATCTAGTAATGAGCTTTTACCACTGTATTCTCAATATTAACTAGGAAATAAAGAGTTTACATCATCAATTGTCCTATCCTCAACGAAAACATCATTCCAATTGGGTATAATCTTATCCCAATTCTTAAAATACTTATCGATATCACTTTCCAATGAATTCTCCCATAACTGTTGGTGGTCGTTTTCTGAAGATGATATACTTGTCACCGCTGATGAATTATATTGTGGGTCTTGGTGTTGTATCGATTGGCTCTCGATACTGTTTATTGATGACAATGGTGTTGTTTCTATTTGTTCATTATTCTTGACATAATTTGACTCAGAATCTGATGAGTTCAAAATGTCATTTAGATCAATCTTTTTCGTCTGATATGGATGAGTTGTATGTTGTTCTGGGATATCTGATTCACCATAATCATTTAGCAAATTACTCAATTTGGTGTTTTGTTGTAACGCCCTGTTAAAGACTCCATGATTACATCTTTCCAAGTATCTCAGTAACTGTTCAATAATACCATACCATGTCATACCTAAATGATCATCATGAAAATACATTTTCAAAAGTTCCATATTTTGAACCCCTAAAGATTTCAAATTCAAATCATTCAAGATATTAGAGATTGAAAGACATGTGACTGAATTTGTAAATAATTCAAATGCTGTGAATGGGGTAATGATAAATTTCTTTCTTGATACCAAAGTCATTATCAAGCTAGAGCTTTCTTGCACTTGATTTATAAGTTTTTTTGTGAACTGGTAATGATCTGTTTGTGATAAATCGGAACTATAATAAAAATATTCTCTATTCAAGAATATACCCGAAAGATATAATAACTGATGTAGAAATCCAAAATTTAAATTATCAGCTTCTAAATGCTTGTTAAGATTCAATATATCCAGCTCCTTAGGCATGCTATCTCTTAATAGCTGTAAATCGTTACTTAGCTTGTAGAAGCTAGAGTTTGGATCACTTGGATTCAATTTTTCCTTCTTAGAACCAATTTCACCCACCCATTTAGCAATTTTAGACCATAATTCGTAACCAATAATTGTAAAATCTAAACTTGTTAATTGTCCTAGGCATCTGAAACAATCATTATAGCTTGGAAAATCAATAGGAATACCATTTTGGAAATTTTTTTCAGGACAAGGTAAACTAACTTCAATATCTTCAATTTTCAAAGCATGTGATCTATTACGACCACTTGAATTACATCTATCCATCATGTAAACTGACCATATTGTCCTTCTTTTAGACTCCATAGAAATGAACCTTTCACGAGGATCTTCAATCTCATTCTCATAACAAACACCACGGTTACATCCTAGACCCAAAATGGCTCCCATTCTAGCTGCAATCCCAATATATAAATAAGATCTTGCTGCATTTCCTTCGCTCCATTCATGAGATGATAATATGGTTAATGATTGAACTCTTTGAATTGAAGGTGTATCAAACATATCTTTCAATAATTGTCTTGAGTAAAAAGCAAAATACTTGGATGCGTTTGATGGGGAATTAGAAGTTATTTTATATGGACGTTGACCAAAATTTGGGACGAAACCTTCAGGATCATTGTTTTGATCGAATTCACCATACATCTTAGTTAATGTTTCATTATTTCTAGCACATAATGCCATTATTGCCAATAATGTACACGGGGTAAATATTGGTATATCTTCAGGGTCATCATAATTGAAAAACTGATGGCCAAATTTATCACCTTTAATATAATCTATGTATGACTCCTTGTGTAAAAAATTAAATATAGAATGAACTTGGTTGTTGAAAAAATCATAAACTATTTCTAACATTATAGATCTATTGGGTAAAATCATTGAATCCAAATAGTTGGCACATCTATTACCATGTTTATTTCCATAGTTGTTTATACTTTCTGAAAGGAAAGGTGGTGTTTCTTCTCTTTTAACTCCAGTACCATTTGAAGATGGGTTGATACTAAGTGGTATAGCACAAGGACTTGGAAGTTGTTGTCTTTTCACAGAATTTTTCTTCTCAATCACACCAAACCCCTTATCACCTTGTAAAGACTTCTCACGTCGTATCTGCTTCTTGAGTTGTGATGGTTTTGGAGTGTATTGACACTCGAAGTGATGCTTAGCACACCGTTGGCATTTCCCATTGGGTTCACCTTTAGCATCCACGTTTGATAAACAACGTAACTTGGAACGACGACAGTTATCACAAGCTAAGAACGTACGCACCATCTCGACCTTTCCAACTGCTATTTCAGCACCCGATCATGAGTCTTTGGAGTCTATCAATAACGATAGTAAAATGAAGCGTCAACTCAAAATACATCGTGGCAGCCGGCACGGTCCACTATTCTCAGACGCCATAGTTTATCTATTATCGTTCCGTGATTATGTCATGGCACAGTGGTAATCTGGCTTATATTATGTAATCATTGAGATATAAGTGCGCTTAAAGGTAATAATCTTTTATCTAGCTACGTTGTGAAGTACAAAACGTCCATGTATAAATCAAATCGTAAGTTAAAGTAATATAGAGGGAAATAGATAAATAGGCAGATATATTCAAAAAATAAATTGTGAAAAAGAGGAAATAAAAAAAGGATAAAAAGCAATGGTTTGATCGTAAGAGTGTGTAAAAATAAAAGTAAAAAAGCATCTAAATAACTCCAAAATTGTAATAAAAATTAAAAGCTAGTAGCATTGAGTGTAAATGGTCTGCTGTTGGTTAGAACTCTAACTTTAGGAGGATTGAATATGTAATTTATCCTTCAACTAAGGGAATTCAATAACCAATAATACGTCTTAAAAATGAACGTTTTTGAACTGAACCATTTGAAGCATAATCACTAGCAGTGATACTGTATTGTGAAGCACTTGGACTCAAACTAGTTGAGTTACCAGAAGTTGTACCGTTACCATATAAAGCTGAACCGTATGCAGAGTTGGTTGCTTGTGGTTGAGTAGCATTTGTACCAGAACCAGCTTGGTCAATTGAACCTGTAGCGGTAGCTTCAGCAGCAGCGGATGATGATGGTAAAGTTGTGGTTTGAGTTAAGTAAACAACTTGGGTGGTGGTTTGGTCAATATCAGTTGAAGTTGAAACGGTATGAACTTCACCATTTGAGCCGGTAATTGTGAATTCAGCAGTTAATGGGATCTTGGTGGTAATTGTACTAGTAACGGTTGAAACTTGATCTTGAGCAGAAGAGGCAGCACAGTTATCATTTGTAACAGTAACAGTGACAGTTGAAACGGCACCTTGAGCTTCTGGAGCAGCGGATGAAGATTCAGCAACTGGAGCAGAAGTAATTGCAGCAGCTGATGATGAAGATTGAGCACCATTGTTGTTAGCTTGAACTTGTTTACCAGCTTCATCAATGTTTAATGAGTCAGCTGAAGAAGAGACTGGAGCTTCTGATGATTGAGCTTGAGATTGTTCACCTTCATTGGTTGGAGTAGCTGAAGTTGAAGATTCTGCTAAAGTGTAAGTGGTCAAAACAACTGATGTAATTGTTGAATCACCAGATTGGTAGACTGATTCACCAGCAGTACTAACTGATTCTTGAACACCTTGACCTTCAGCAGCTGAACTAGAAGCTTGACCTTGAGGAGCAGCAGATGATGATTGTTCTTGAGTAAGTGTTGAGAAATAGGTAATGGTTGAAGTGGATAAAACAGATGAAGCTTGACCATTAGCATCAGTAGTTGGAACATAAGTTGGAATTTCAGTAGTAACGGTGGTGGTCAAAGTTTCATAGATTGTTGAATCACCAGCAGTAGATGAAGCTTGTTGAGCTTGAGCTTGAACATCAGAAGATGAAGCTTGTTGAGATTGGCCTTGAACGTCAGAAGAGGAAGCTTCTGGTAAAGCTGATGATGATGATGAATCAGCGTAAGAACCAACTTGATAAGTACCATTTTCAGCTCTTTTCAATAATTGGTCATCAAAACGAACAGCGACGTTGGCGTAAGCATTGACCATTGGCATGATAGCCAAAGCGACTGGTAATAAAGTTGAGAATTGCATTTGATCTTATATTCTTGTTCTTGTTGTTCTTTTTCTTGTTCTTATTATATTGGACTTTATTGTGATGTAAAGAAGTCTTTTATTATAATTATTTGGAATGAAAAATTTTATAAAGAATGAATAGCAGTTAGTTAATTAAAGGAATGGACGAGACTATATGTGAAGCTCTATGTGGATAACCGTTATTCTTCAATAAATTGTAATCTTTAAACCTATTGATATAGTTTTATTGTTGATTGATTGCAAGAAAGTGTAAGTTGAAGCATTCTTAAAATAGAGAATTTCAGAGGAGATACAATTGGTTTTATACGACAATGGAGGTTTGGGAATGGATTGGAATTTTGAAAAGTCTTGATAGCCTCAAGTGCAAATTCTCTGGAAAATGTTCACAGGAGCTCGGTAGGAACCACAAAAAGTAAACAATTCTGCAAGAATCGAAACGCGCTTTCTGAAGGGGCTTCTGAGCTTTAATGAAAAATATCGCTAGAGATTTGTATTATGAAGGCTAAGTATGATGTGATATATCTCTACTTTGAAGCACTGGCTATTTAATGATGGTAATATAAGTATATTTGTGGTGGTTAAAATTTGAATTGAAGTCACGTTCTTCTTTCTAACACTACATAGCGTGTCTTCCGAGCCATAAACAGATCGGACAAGTTTGCAAAAACACGCATACCAAACCAAAACAAACCATGAAAACAGGTATACAAAACGCGCTCAAAATCTCACGGTCTTGTTGTGCTACCAGGGAAATGGACCGTATTATAGTTTGTGGTTTGTACGTCATGACATTTTGTAAACATCTTTGTTTGAGAATAAAAATTAGGCAGTGGAGAACTTGTTGGGCTATATATAGTATAATGTTTAAGCTATAAACATAGTCCTGAAGGAACCTTCATGATTCCACTGTGCGAAGGTAAATTGATATACCCGTAAGTCATACATTGCCTAGTAAACATATAACCTTCTGAACTTGAACTAATAAACGTTAGATATCTTGTATCTTGCCCATCGTACCTACTAGTGAACCATGTACGTATAGAAATTGAAAAGCTGGTCCGCGTGGTGTAGGTACAGTGGTAGTGTGGTAGTACACCCATTAAAAAACTTGATAATTTAAAAAAGTGATCCCATAATTCATGATCAAGTCAAGAAAGTCAGAGCTTGACGGTGTACAATGTACATGGC